CCCTCTCTTACTATTCCACCCATCACTGCCCAAGTTAAAAAATGGAAAAAGAAAAAAAAAAAAAAAAAAAAGAAGCATAACTCCTAATTTAAGGTCTCAGTCCTTAAATGCCCCTCTCCCCAAAATATTAACTATCCTGTCCCAGCCTGTGGGAAGGACGCATCAACATGTGAAATAACAGCACAGCAAATTTCTGCTGTGCTGGGGACACAAAGCAACTTCTTTTACCAATAGCTCTGTAAGGTAACAAGAGAGCATTCCCTCTGAGACAGACTGTCTTGTGTGACCCTCCTTATCCCTCTTCCTTTTCCCCTGAGTCCATTGCCAGGGCAGACTGTTTCCTTGTATCTCCACAGGAAGCAGTATCACGCTTCCCTGAGGATGAGCAGTTGGCACGAATTCAAAATGTCATCCAGGAGCTCCCACCATCGCATTACAGGTGAGAACATGTCCACCAAGGTGCTGAGGAACAGTGTAATGACCCTCACCATCAGGGAATATTACCTGAAACAGCACTGGAGTTAATTTCCAGAAGTCAGTTCTCAAAAACTGACTCACCATTTCCAAATCTGACAACAATTAATCTGGCATTTAAATATCAAACCATTGTCAGAGATTGAACAAGCTCTCCTTGCCACAGTCTATCATCCTTCTTTCCCTGGTACAATCCCCATGGCATCCTTGGCCAGTGTCCTGGGTATGGTGAGGAGAAGATGATCTGCGGGACGTCCTTGAGCAAGAGCTAAGCCCTCAGCCTTTGCAAAACCCTACTCCCTCTCCTGGTCCTGGTCTGTGTCCCATCCTTGGCCACACCAGAGCACAGTTGTTCCGATGCTCACTGCCATCTCATGTGAATGCTGGTGCTGTAAATCCTCTGTCCTATGGGGCCTGTTGTGCCATTTCGGACACTGCCTTCCTTGCGGAGGGGACAAGTCTGAGGTCAGGGCTGGGTCTGATCCTTGCTGTCCCAGTGGGTGGGTATCAACCACTTGAAACCTTTTTCTCTCTTCATATAAAACCACTGCAGAACACTGGAATACCTGATCAAGCACCTGACTCACCTGGCCTCCTTCAGCAACATGACCAACATGCACACCAGAAACCTGGCCTTGGTGTGGGCTCCCAACCTCCTCAGGTACAGTAGAGAGCCCTCTCATCCAGAGCACCGTGCTGAGCTCCAAGGGGAGTGCCAGCACCTGAGCCTGGAGACCTAATCCGTTGAGGGAAATGCGAAGACAGGGAAAAGTAGAACAACTAAAGGAAACAGAAGAACAGAGCAAACAGCTTTTAAAAGGAGAAAAAATTCTTCCAGGTTGAATAATCTGAGGTCTTACTGCCAGCATCCAAGGAAGCCTGTGGTTTGGTGTGTTTCTTATAAAAAAACCCAAAACAAAACAGAAGCTGTTATTTGCACGTTGAACACATGAATTTAAAAATGAGGAGTTAGCTCATCACTGTGGAACGGAAATGACATTTCTGACAGTGCCAGTACTTCTGCAGCGGGGGATGAGAGACAGCAAGGCTTGGAAGGGAGGGCAACAGGGCAATAATACTACAGGCCTGTGACCAGATCTGCGCCCAGATCTGCTTAAGCATAAGCGAGATGAGCTTGGTGGGCTTAAGATGGCAGCTACTATCAGATCTCAAGACCGCCAGCTCATTTGTCATGTTTGCTATGGCTGGCACTCTGCTGGGAAGAGGCCCGGATAAGATGCAGGCAGAGGTTTGGCTGATATGTTGTAAAACTAAGCAGAACAAGAAAAAATAGTATCTGGGGGAAAAAAAAGGGAAATATTTTATATCTTGTTGAAATTCCCTTCCCCATCAATCCCATACCCATATATTGAGAGGAATGAACTATTCAGGGAGAGTCCAGGACTACAGCTGGGCAGGAGAGGAGCGCTGGCAGAGCTGGGGTGGGAGCCCTGGGCTGGCAGAGGACAGGAGGGAGAGACATTGGCTAGAGAGGTACAGGCCTGAAAAACGTTCTATAAAGAGTTATCTCACCCTTTTAAATCACAAAACAGGCAGAGCAGGTTCTGAAAATGAATCAAATGTTGACTCTATTGTATATCACAAAGTGGACCTTTACTACTGAGACATTTTTATTGTAGCATCTGTCCATGTCAAAAAACCTGAAGTCTGTTTCCTTTTGCAATCTTTCGTAAGTGCAAGTCCCAGGGAGGGTAAGAAAGGAGCAAACAGTGCAACTGCAGCCTCCTTACAGGGTTATCCTCTTGGCAATGCCCCAAGCTATTATCTAACACACCAGTCATTAACTTTACAAAGGATCCATTGCCCAGAGATAATTTCTTCAGCAACACTTTGGCATGTCAAGATAAGGAATGTTTCTTTGCTGAGAGCAAGAGTAAGAATGTGGGAGTGCAGGGGAGCAGAGATGAGACTACTGGGGCACACTGGCAAAGCACTGAAAAAATTGGTGTGGGGAAGACCTGAGCAGGTTCTAAGGGATTTCACTGAGAGATGATTGAAGCATTGAGAAGGGATCAGGAAGCAGTGCTTGAAGGCTCCTGCATTGTCTTTCCAGCCCAACTTTGAAATAGCTAAAAGGCGCATAGAGGGAGAAGAGTGGAGTTTGAGAGTCACAGTTTTATCTACTGCTGAGAAATGCAAAAGTGAAGTAAGCAGCAGAGGTGACAGAGAAAACAGGGAAAATAATTTTTAAAAGAGTGAAAAGGCAGAGAGGATGAGGGTCTGTGAGGGAAGGAGAGCAAGAGGTGCAGCAAGAGTGGGGAAACCACCCCTGTTCCAAGTCTTGCAGGAAGAAAGCTGATCTCTCCTTCCTAATGTCTGTGTGTGGCAATGCCGGCTACGAGTATACTTCTTTCTTGGTGCAGGTCAAAGGAGATTGAGGCGGTTGGCTGCAATGGGGATGCAGCTTTCCTGGAGGTGCGAGTGCAGCAGTTGGTGATCGAGTTCATCCTGAATCACGTGGATCAAATCTTCAGCAACAACAGAAAAGCCAGCTGTGCAGAGAACATGGGTAACGACCTCCGTGAACCACTCTATGTGTCACGTGCAATGTACTCCAGCTCTAACTGTACCCCCTCCCACTAATATTTCAAGCACATCCACCCTTACCGTGCTCACAGACTCCCCCAAACACACCTTGAGCCCAATCGCTCATTGTTCTTGTACTGTTCATCCCCATCTCCAACATTTTGGTTTTGAATACTAGCCTCCTTTAGTGTGCTCCCAGGTTGCCCTGTGGCTCATCTTTTGCATGATCTCACTTGGTTTAACACTTTCCACAAAAGGAAGACCATCTGTTTGTTTCTCAATCCTGGTCTAAGCTTTCTCGCTAAGCCCATCAGCCACAGTCCCAACTCTTCTCTCAGGCTCCCCCAATTTTAATTCCTCATGCTGATGATACCTGCCCTGCAGCCACCATATCACCAAGTCAGAAGCCACACTCCCAAGATAAAACTTAAGCTTCTGTTCTAAAAACTTATGTCTTGTGCCTGGGGACATTTTATAAGAAGAGATTTTTTTTTCTTTCTGGGACTTCAGCAGTCTTGGGAAATGCTGACTTTTGTTATTTAGTGACAGGTTTATTGTCAAAATGCTTTTAAGCCTGGGAAGTAAGAGGGCTTGGATCCACAGTCACCTCACATAATTTCAGAAATATGCATCATTCTGTTTTACACAGTAGAAGGACTTGTAATACCTGCAGAAGTGAGGGAGTAACCTTTCTGCTTTCTAGCCCTGTGTCAGCTTGTCCCATCGAACTTTCCCTTGACATATGGCATTCCTTAATTGTCCGTCCTTGGAGTCCGCAGTTCCAGTGTGGTGCCCTGCCCAACCTGCAGCACCCCTGCTCTACCAGTGTGGTTTCTCAGGAGAGGAACATGCTGATGGTCCCCGTTGCTTTCTTACTGGGAAAGTGCCCCTTCACCTAGCCCCTCTGCACAGGCAGGAGCTTGCACCCTGCTTCAGCAGTAGGGCTAAGTTCTGAGTGGACTCCAGAGGCTGCGCTACCTTCATGCACCTTGAGGTGGTCTGTTTAGGACAGGCCTGTTGGTGGGGTGGCCTATGGGAAGTTGGCTTTGCAACTGCCTGTGTGAACAGAGACCTACAGTTCCCAGGGCTGTCAGTCACACTGCTTTCCATAGCCCTGAAATGCATTAGGAAGGTACAGTAATGCTGGTTTTTAGAACAGCACCCATGCTGGAACAAGACAAGGAGAAGGAAGCAGAAGTGAGAGAAAGAATCAGGCACCAGGTTTAGGCTGGGGACTGAATTGCTCCAAAATCTGAGGAGGGAAGGAGGGAAGGAGGGAGGAGAAAGGAGAATGTATGAATCCTGGTGGTTTTCAGGGGTGCCTCTTTCACACCGAAACGTCTACAGCAGAGGCAGCAAGTCTCTGCAACGCAGCCATTGGCTGGCGAGCGTGGTCTCTGCTGGGAATGCACTCAGATGGATAAGGTTGCTGGGGAGATGGAAGACTTATCTGACAAAAAGCCTCTCTCTCTGCACGTGCCGCTCCTTTCCCCCCTCCACAGGAGATGTTCCAGTCCAATAAAGACATGAAGCTCTTGCTCTTGTCTCTCCTCACCCCAGGCTGGAATGTATTTTCTTGCTTTTCAGAGAGCGCATCGGTTGTGAAAAGTCTGACCCTCCCCTCGGTCTCCCTGCCGATGAAACTGGTGAGCCTGGAAGAAGCTCAGGCGCGGAGTCTGTCGGCCTCCCACCCTGCTCGTAAGGAGAGGAGAGAGAACAGCTTGCCTGAAATTGTCCCTGTAACTGGGTCCCTCTTCCACACAGTTGTTGACCTCCCTGATAGCAAGTAAGTGCTAAGGGGAGTGTAAAGTGCAAACAAAAAAAAATGAAGGTTTCCCAGCATGATTGCGAATGAGACTTTTGTTAGTGTGATACCCCCACACCTGCACACATGGATCTATAGCCACCATTGCGAGAAAATTGTGTACCCTTCTCAAAAGAGGCCCAGCTGCTCCTGAGAAGCATTGCAGTTGCTGGGTTCATAGCTCCACTAGTCTGCATCCCTCCATTCGGGCAGAACCTTGCAGACCTCCTGCAGGAAGAATTAATTTCTTTGCATCCTTGGGTCAGGTCAGGATTTGGCTAAAGCTGGGCTAAGCGTGGAACAGGTCCGGACACAGCTCTCCTGTGAGTTCCACCTGCTGGTGGCCAGTCCACGATGCGCCTGATGACATTGACCAGCTCAGTTTTTTTGTTCTCTGGGTTCCTCTGCACTCATAGCCAAGCAATAAGCTGAATTTTCACTTCTGGTATGAAGAGATATTTACATAGTGGCACCTATATGCCATCTGTGTGTATGCCAAGAGAAGAGTCTGATTTCAGCTGAGATTGCTGCCGTTGTTGGCAGTGCTGCCCAGCATAAGTATTTATCTATTTGTCTATCTATCTGTTAATATATAGCCACTCTACTGCCTGGTTCTGAGAGTTTATAGCCTCTGCAGCGGGAGGCTCATTAATCTACTGACCCATAAAGCACCGTAGCAAAGACATTTCTTCGCACTTGATATATTAAAGCAAAAATGAGCCATCTAACAGAATGCTGGCAAGAGGATAACCAGCTTAAGACAAAAGAGTGTACTGCCCTTCTAGAGTGCCTTTTCCTTCCTCACTTGAAGAGAACAGTCCTATGCCCAAGATATTAATCTTCTTTGTAGGACTGATTTGTGCTCTTCTGAGTATTGATCTGAAAGAAAAGCAGAACTATGGGGGTGGAAAGCCCATTTTGGAGAGCAAGACAGGGAGATAAGAGGTTCTTGCTCTGGAAGAGGGGAGATTGAAGGAGGAGTCAGAATGGGTATATGAGGGAACTGAAACAGAGCTTCATGCAGTAATACGCATAGAAGAAAACTGGCTTCGGGAGTAGCAGCTTCTTTCTGTTTAAAGCTGGGATTTCCAAAGAGACACAGAGAACTGGTGTCCCACTTCCTCTGACATTTACTAGAAATTGATTTAATTGCCTTAAGCCTCCTCCATTTGGTGATGTAACACCTATAATTAAATGCATGTTGGCCTGAGAAGTATTAGTAGCGAGTTTGCATTAAGAGAGCCTTCTATTTTTGTGAATTCATAAAACTTATAAGATGTGAGGACTTTAAATGATAGCTTTGTGCACTGGGTTATGGTACCAGTTCCATCGGTTCTCTGGAATTTATCTTGCATTCTGTCTTTAAAACCCATTTAAAAAGCAATTTTTCTTTACTGTACTGCAAGATAGTTCTAGCCTCAGAAACCTCTCCTTTCTGGAAAGAGACATGGTTGATCGCTTAGTCAATCACAGTTGCTGTAGCATGATGCCACAGCCAGTTCTCTGAAGAGTCAGCTTAGTTGTCTTTCCATCCATGACACGGTTAAATCAGCAATACAGATAAATCACTTATAGAAAAGCAAGAGTTGGTTGTGTAGCTGTGCCTTGCATGCTTAGAATTAAGAGAGGTGTGAGAAGAAAAGTAGGACAGTGTTGAGGGAAGAGAGCTCAGAAGTTTTTGTGGGATATTAAGAAGAAAAAAATCTCTTGGGTTTGGTAACCTCTGGAGTCCTTTTTCCTTCCAGGCGAAAATTATCTACCAAGTCCAAGAAATGGAAGTCGATATTTAACTTGGGCCGTTCTGGCTCAGAATCAAAGTCTAAACTGAGTCGAAATGGGAGTGTCTTCGTAAGGGCACAGAAGCTCTCTGGTAAGAACACACTTTTCAGTTAAGTAATTCTCTCTGCAGCTTTCTTCTGCAATATTGATAGTGTGGGGCAACCTTTATCCATGTGACACTAACAGCATTAGACTTGAGATAGTCTAGTGGGGTCACGTTGCCTGGTTTTGTGGACATCTCATTTTCACGTGATGGTGAGAAGCACCTTTTCAGGAGGATATGCCAGACAGCTACAGCAAGTATTCAATTTTGGTATGTGATAAACAGGCTCCAGTTGCCCAGATGTCAAGCTTGAGGACTAGGAAATGCTATGTAGGTTTGGACTAGTCCACTCTTCCAGCCTAGCTAGCCTCTGGCTCCTAATGTTCCTTACATGGCATTGGGTGAATGGTGTCCATCCAGGCTGTCCTTCCACTAAAAGGCATTAAAGAACCAACTGTGTTCAGTGTCTTTGAGAAAAACAAGGCACTAGGAGTTCCTATGGCTCCTGGCTCTCAGCACTTTGAGGGAAGCTATTACTTTTGCAGAATTTACAGGAAAGAAGTTGTCTTTTCTCCTGGCTATAATCCCAAGTTTTAGCCCCTCCTGAGCTGCAGTCTCTTAAACACTCTGCTTCCTACGAAATCACATGGCAGTGCCAGTTCCCAGTGCTCAGAAATGATGACTTAAGTTCTAAAAATCATGAAGTTGACTGAAAAGTAATCGCAATTTTTAAAAGAAAGCATACCCTTTTCAACCTGACTTCATAAAGAAGTGTTTCAGGTTTATATGTGCTAGATATTTTTTTTTTAGTATCTCCAAGACAAGAGATTTACTTTTTAAAAAGAAGATGAAGATGAGATATTTTTTTTTAGCTAATCTCATGACTCCAGGAGCTGGTGTTTGGAGGAGCACTACCAAACACTGCCAGACTTAAAATAAAATATTTAATGTTGGCAACATTACCTACCACAACATATAAAGAGGCTGTGTTTGGATCAGAAGTGAGTGTGAAGCCAAATGCTGGATCCAGATCCTTTTGGACCCCTGCCTTCTCCCATGTTTTGCATGTACAGATGGCCTTGCATAGGGTGCCCGCAGCAGATCTCGAAATAGCTCTCCATCCTATTTTGATCACGAGATCACCTTCTCACTGATAAGGAATACTCCGTCCCAAAATAGTGCTAACCCAAGGATGCCCAGGAATGAGTGGAGCCCAGTGATTTTGGGGGCTGAGTCCTTTTCCAAACACAGTACTGAGTGACAGGATGCTGTCCATTTTCACCAGCAGGACACAAAAATGCACAACCGTCTGCAGAGATTTAGGCACCGAAGTAGTGCTTTTGAGAAGCAGTGCTTTAGCGCTGCCATGTTGTATTTTTGTGTGCTCTCTGCTTACAGCCTAATGTGAAGAAACAGATGAACTTGCTGTTGAAACTCAGCACATGCTTTAACACAGTTTGTGCCCATGCACACAAGTCTGCAAATCACATAAAACGCAAGCTCCACAGCTTGAATTCTGTTCCTCCTGGGAAGCGAAGCCAGTGCTCAAGACATCATACCATATGAATGTAAAAGGTAGTCAGGACTTCATATAAATGCAGAAAGTAGCTGGAGTTTCTCCTTTGCTTAAGTGAAGGTCACTCCCAGAAGCCTTATTTATATAAACAAATGAAGTCCAACAAGCTGCTCATTTTCTGCCTTACCTACTTTGTGCAACATTGTAAACAGCAAATTTTGCTCCCAGACATTTTCCAGAGCTCCAGGGACCCTTTTTGGGCTGCCAGAGTCTAACTTGTCTTCCTTGCCAGCTACATTCCCTCCGTCTCTCCTTTTCAGACCAGTAACAGCCACATGCTTCCAAAACCTCTCAAGAGCAGACCTGTAGAGTGTCTGGTGACAAATGGCAGCTTGTTTCTGGACAAGCAAATCCAGCGAGGATGACCAGGAAAATAGGTTGCTTACTGCCCTCATAAATTTCCCGCAGTGCTTGCTGGAGGCAGGGTATGCTTATGCCAGCAAAGAGCCTGGGAGCGCAACGTAAAAATAACCTAACATTTGCTATAGGGAATGAGAGGTGAGAAGGTATTTATGTCAGCTTAGTTAGAAAGTCCTCACAACCACTAGCCTGACTTGATAGGGGAGGGCAGTGGTGCATAACAACTTTGGGGATGCTTAACTGCTTCACAGTGGAGATGGTGTTGACTGGCTGGGTTAAGTATAGCTCTCCACATGTCCGGCAGGTGCAAAGCTGTTGTTAGCGCTAGCAGATCCCCAGCTGTGTGGACAAGTGTTGTGGGTAATAAGCCACATGGTGTGGATACAGAGCGGGAATGCTTGGAAATGGAAAATAACTTTGATGTCTGCCTGGCATGCCCATCTATATGTAGCCTTTGGTCTTTATGGGCTGAAACCTGCAAAGCCACAGGATCTGAAGCCTGTTTCTAAACCCCATTTTTCACAGAAAAAGCAACTATTCGGCCTGCGAAGAGCATGGACTCACTGTGTTCCCTGCCAGTAGAAGGTGAGACATCAATAGCTTTTACTGTAAGGGTGAAGGATTGTACCTCTGCATTCTCAGCTTTCCCCCGTGCCTGCATAGATGCACTGTTGTCTTCCTTTGCCTATCTCACCATATTGTGTATCTCTGAATGCTTGTGTCATGGCAACTGACATGTGCCCCCAACTTTATGTGCATGCATTTTTAACCCTTTTCTGTGTCTTTTATGTTGGTGCGTGCACCTGAGAGTTACCACTGTGCCTAGCTGCATCGTTATTAGCAGTGGGATTGCTTCGATTTCATTCTTGGTTATTCTGGACACAAAAAATTTCAATTTGTAAGGGAAAGTATAACGCAGCAATAGGTGCTTGCAATAAGCCAATAAAACCCAGAGCTGTGATCTTTGTGGGCAATGCACTCTAGCCCTAGACTTGGCTGCATCTAATTGAGAGGCGCCTCTAATAAAAGTCTTAGGTGATTTCCACTGGAGGGGAGCCAATTCAGCCCTGCCTGCCAAGATTGAGGGAAGCCCCAGGGCTGGAGCCTGGAAGGTGTTCAGTGCCTGCTGTCCCCATCCCTCTGGGGAAATATGGGTGTTCACCAGGGCAGGACGCATCCTTGGAGGGACCAAGAAGGGTTCCTCACAGAGGAAGGTTGCTTGCTAGTGCTTCATTTGCCACTGACTCCCTCATACCTTCTCTTGTTTAGGGGAGGATGAGAAGAGCAGATTCAAACGGACAGTGACTACTGGAGGGTTTTTTGTCCCGGTGATGAAGATACGGACAGGAGGGACAGGCAGTTCATATGACCTCAGCAAGGAGAATGAGTGGGAGCGGGAAGGATCTGGTGTGGGGGCCAAAGGATGCTCTGAGCTGAGTGGGGAGAAAGGTCCTCCCCGGACACCGCAGGCAAAGTCACCTCCTGAGCAGCTGAAGGTCTTCCGGGCAGGAGAGGATGCCGAAAATGAGCAAACTTCCCCCAAAGGTGGCCGCATGTTCTACACTTCTGAAACAGCCTCCCTGAACATCTCAGAGCCCTTTGCCGTCTCTGTACCCCTCCGGGTATCCGCAGTCATCAGCACCAACAGTACCCCCTGCCGTGTGCCCACCAAGGAGAAGCTTTCCCTCTCCAGCCTGGAGGAGCTGTCTTCTTTGGTGGCCGAGAGCACGAGCCCCTCTGCCCAGGAAGCAGGGACCCACATGAGGACAGAGCAGATGCCGGAGCGTAAAGAGAAACAGCTGGGGCCCACCCTGCCAGCAGCAGCATCCAGAGGTAAAAGTGTGTTAAGGACGGTTAAGCCTCTGTTGGGCTACTGGAGGTGGCCTGCAGCTCAGTAGCATGGAGGTTGCTCCAGCCTGCTCTTGTGGCAGGGAAGAGACCAAGCAGTAGTAGGGTGGGTGTTGATGGTAGCAGGTCAGGTTGGTGCTTGTGGCAGTAATGAGACTGGGGAAGTGGGTGGCCTCCCACCAGTGTGCTGTTATGCCCGGCGGGAGCTCTTTAGCTTTGTTAGTTGACATTGGGTTGAAATACCACCACTTTGTCTCAGGGCACATGTTTTCAGTCACAAGTAGTTACATCGTTCATTTGTGTTTCCGGTCCAGGCTCTCACCCTGAGGAGCTGGTGGCAGCCAGGAAACCTGAGACCTTAGAGACTCCACAGCCAGCAGCAGAAAATCAGGAGACATCACGTGTGCAAAGCAGTGGCACAAGCAGCACCAGCAGCCCCCAGCAGTCCTCGGAGCAAAGTCCAACCTTGGAACAAACGCCAGCCTCAGAGGTTCATACAGGGCCACTCCCTGCAGACAAGGCAGAGCAAGGACAGCTCAAGATGAGGGATGTCTCCTCAGAAGGCAGCTGTGGCCAGCAGGAGATCCAGACGGCTAAGGCAGAAGAACGGTCACCCTTAAGAGATGTGGTAAGGAAGAAAGCATGAGAAAAAAGATGGGGGACAATGCCACAGTGGTGACTGAGAGGCTGTTTAAGTTTCATTTTGTGTCTGTAGTCATGAAAACTCAGTCTATGACCCAGGCTAAGCAGGGTCAAGAACTAACCATGTACTGATTTCACACTGTCCACATGACCATGTGGTGATTTACCTTTATGCAACTACCCACTGTCCCCTCCTAAACTTCTTTTTCTGTAACTGTACGATTGCAGTCGGTACAATTTGTCTGCTCTGAGACTCTCCAGATGTGAGACTGTCCGGATGTCTGAGCACTTTGACCCATGGTTTCTGAATTCCCCTTTATATTTTTACTGTCCCATTTGTCCTGGACAGCCTGAACCGTCCTTTTTCTTTCATTCTCTATGCACTGTTTTTTTATTATTATTATTTTTGCCTCCTCTATATTTCCAGCAGAGATTTTTCACCAGATATCTTACGGTGATACTCATCTCTGGACAGCTATTTAAAGAGCTGTTGGCATAGCTCCTTGAATAGATTATTCATTTCAGTTTGTGTGCGATTTGGGAATGCAGATCCTCTGGCAAGACCAAGTAAGCACTGAATGGGAAGAGCTGAGAACTGGGCTGAGGCATTCCAGCTACTCATTCACCTCACTCTTCCAGTACATCTGTCCAGGCCTCATTTTGGCTGCACCTCCAATCTTTTCCTCCATAAACCCACTTGTTTATAAATGTATTTCCTTCCCTGGATTGGTAGCAGTTTGCATGTGTGTGTTTCTGTACCCATGAGCGTCCTCGTCCAGGAGCCTGTCTATTCTATATGGGCTGTTTGAGGAAAATGGAGGGTTATTTGCTCGTAAGCTGTGAGCTGCCAGGTCATGGCATTTCTTTTGTTTTTCAGACTGAGGAGGACCCTTCAAATGCCCTTCTAGAACCGCTGTGGCCAGAGATACAGCAGGAACTGAAAATTATTGAATCTGAAGAGGAGCTCTTGCTCTTGCCAGCAGCTGTCCCCAAGACAGGCCTAATTTCTGAATCCTGTTCTTCAATACAAACAGATAGTTATTCCTCTGGGTCAGGGCAGAGTTCAACACTGCCTGAGCAGAAATCTGCAAGCAGAACACCACAGACAACAACTCAGGTGCCTTTATTTGGTGCCACTGGCATGGAACGACAAGACGGCCTCCACAACTGCCAGTCTGATGTGGCTGCACAGCAGAGCTGTGCTTCAGCCCTGCCCAGAGTGGGTACTCTTCAGACTGGCACAGCCTCTCTGAACAACCACCACCCAGTGGTGGAGGACAGCAGGAGTGAGTGTCTCACTCCTCCCCTGGACTGGAAACTTCATAGACAATCAGAATTTAATGAGGTTTCCCCAAGTGATGAATTTTCTTGTTCCAAAGGAGCACTTCCAGAGTCAGGGAGAGAAAAAGATAGCATTCGCCAGCTGCAGAGGGAAACGGATGGTCTTACCAGAGTCCAGACTCAGAGGGAGAAGCCTGAGGTAATGACTGCTGATGAAAGGGACACATTCTCCTCCAAGGCACTGAGTGGAGCTGGAATCCAGGAGCTGAAGGAGGGCAATGCTGTTAGCAGAACCCATGATTTTGGTGACCAGGATGACGAGGATACCTGGACAGACAATGTGCAGAGCTTAGAACTTGTGGAGCCATGGGAGGATCACCAGTGGGTTACAAGTCCACTCCATTCCCCCACCTTTAAGGACATTCAGGAGAAGATGATACAGGATTTTCAGCCCCAGAGCCAGAGAGCAGAGACAGGCCTTTCTCTTAGACCACGATTCAGTCGCAGCCTCTCCCTGGACAGTAAAGACACAGCGATGAGTCTGTGGACTATCCCATTCTCTTTCATAGATGCCACTGACCAGCAGCAACCATGCAGTGATGTTCTACCAGTGACTTGTGAGCTGCCCAAAACACAACCCATCTCCCCCTCTAGTTTGGGCAAAGCTAAGCAAGATGAAAATGGCACAAGTCCTCCAGAAGAACCTTTGAAACCTGAGAAGCTGAGGTACCCCCTCAGCAGGGAGGAAGCACCAGCTGAGAAAGAAGGACCCTCCAGAATCCCTCTTTCAGAGCCAGAGGAAAAGAAAGTGGATATGAGCAATGAAAACCCTTGGAGCTCAAAGCCTGAGCTATCTTTACCATACCAAAATAGCCCAGGCAGTTCTTCACAGGTGAAGAACACAAAGGAGGAGTTATCCATGTCTCAGGGCATTTCCCTGGGAGGAGAGACTGTTACCAAAGCATTGTGCTCTGCCACTGACTCACAGCTGAGTAATAAAGATGAAGAAACACCTCGCAAAGTGAAGACTAGGCCATCATCCCTCAACTTGGATTCACTCCTTCCAGCCCAAGATTTCTTCACATTTGAGAGCCTGTCCATGCCCTCTGCCCCTGGGAACCGCCTCTGTGGGCAGAAGGAAGTAAAAAGCAGTGATTCTGTCCCATCCCTGCCGACTGCCTGCCCTGCTGCCAGTAAAGGCATTCCTTGGGGGTCTCATTTCAATGCTCACATGGATCTAGACTTGGATTACCTGGCAGTGGCCCATGCCACCACTGGCCGTCGTAACTCTGCCCCTGTCAGCGTGTCGGCAGTCAGGACCTCCTTCATGATTAAGATGTGCCAGGCTAGAGCAGTGCCTGTGATACCACCCAAGATTCAGTACACCCAGATCCCCCAGCCCCTGCAGGCTCAGAATGCCGCTCCGCCAGCTGAGAAGAAGGAAGCAGAAGCCAAGCAGGCTGTCAGGCAGAATCAACGGGTGGCATGGAGCCACCTGGAGGCCCCCAAGAGCCCACCGACAGAGAAGAAAGCCAAAGCAGAGAAAGAAAATAGTGACCCAGCTCAAAAGGACTCAGCCTGTCCTTGGCACAGCAGCCTTGGCTCTTCACTGGAGCCATCTCAATCCAGTCATCACCCCACTCTGGATGCCCCAGTTCTGCGCCGAAAGCGCACCTCTGAGGGGGAGACAGCTGGAGATAACCCGCAGTCCTCAAAGATGGAGAGGCCATCAGGGTTCTCCAAGCCTTCCTATAGATCTAGGCCCGGGAGGCCCCAGAGTCTGATTCTCTTCAGTCCCCCTTTCCCCATCATGGACCATCCATCCTCTTCAGCAGACTCCAGGGTGTTGCTATCACCTATAAGGAGCCCCACTCAGACCACCTCTTCGAGCCCCATTTGTGGTGATCTGTCTGAGACTTCACGGGCAACACCTGAGGGGGTGACGCTGCGGAACAAAATGACCATCCCCAAGAATGGCCAGAGACTGGAGACCTCTACTAGCTGCTTTTACCAGCCCCAGAGGCGCTCTGTGATTCTGGACGGACGAAGTGGGAGGCAGATCGAATAGCAATTGCTTCTTGTATTCCTTTTCTGTGGTGGATGGGATGGGAGTGTCCAAGACCAACTCTGTTGCCATTTTGCTGTTGTTATAACTATTTTGTGCAAGATGGACCCAAATCCTTTACAGTTTCCTGCAAAGTATTTTGCTATGGAGGGTCATAGTCTTTTTGTCTTGCTTTTCCTTCCCTTTCTCACCCCTGCCTAGTCCTTCACTGTCTGCTTTTTTTTGTAAGCCAGTCCCAGGGAACTTGCATTTCCTCATACTTGTTGTCTAACAAGCCCTGTGAAAGTCTCATCCTCCCTGTGGAAAAAAAGAAAAATAAATCTCGGTATAATTAGAAAATAGGGCTGGGAGGAAACACTGTTCCAAAGCACTGCGGCCCAGGGTGCAGGGGCACAACATCTGCTGAGGAGGCAAGTCCTGATATTTGGGACCTCCTTTCATTGTTTCCTGGCCACCACTGAAGGACCATGCCTATCCATCTCTGTTGTCTGATTTAGACAGTGTAACTAAAGAGTGCAGGAGGCTGGGGATAGCTGAAGAGGAAGGTGAAGCTGGCATGAGTAAGTTACACAGGGTGTGAGATACCCAAGGACGTTCCATTGACAAACATACAACCCGAAGGTGCTGCCTCCGGCTCTGTCCTTGCATCACAGATGTGCTCTTTCCAGCATGTGCAAGGGCTGGAATGAAAGTAGCTGGACAGGAAACGCCTAGTTGTTCTTTTAATCTTCCTAGTCCTGCTCATGAGTTTTGTTGTGCTCAACCACACCTTCCTTGGGCGTACGAGATCGGTGTGGCTGGGGAATGAGTGTGCAGCTGTCTGTCCAGTGGTAGAGACTTCTCAGGCTGGTATCCATGAAAGCAAAGATATGGTCATAACAAAGGCCAGTACCAACTATTTTCGTCATTGCTTAAAGACAGATGACACCTCTGCAACTATCTCTAGCTGTGGTCCACGCTGCCAACAGCAGAAAAAGGCAAGAAGATCTTCTGATCTGCATGTCCTTGGGCTATTGGTCTCTTGCACCCTGACTGACATGTCTTTGACCCTTGGTCTTTCATTGCCACTGTGTGGCAAGTCCCCAGGTGCTTCTTCTTCCTTTAAACTTCCTCTCCTTGTGATTTTACACCGTTTCTTTGAGAACATGGCTGGTTGTCACCTCTCTGGCCCTCAGTGCTTTCAGATTGATTAAGAGTATGGTAAAGAGGATGATTTGTGGGACTGCAGAACAGATCATGAACAATATCCTGAGAGGGGGATTTGAAGTGAATTAAACTGTCTCCTGAAGGGCCGTTATTGTTACAGGCAAATATGCGTTCATATAAGCAACAGCTGCCTTGGGAATAGAATTAAAGCTTCCTTTATAAAGCTTCTAACTCTACGTTCACCGCAGGCTCATCTATTGCCTGATATGTGACTGTGGGCGATTGCAAAGTCAGGTACAGCCCGTGCTGTCTCTGCAATTTAAGTGTCACTAGTGACTATAGAGGAGACGGGAACACAGGTGTTGCTGCCAGCACTGAGACTGTCCCTGTAATGGTGCTAGCAGGGGCAATCATTCATGGAGATGTCTGAGTCTGTAGGCCCTCAGATGGGTATTATGGGCTATAGTTTAAGCAGCAAATGGGCATCTGGTAGGAAGTGCTATAGCCACCAAAATGAGTGTCAGTCAGCATTTCCCAATGGATGTATGTTTAGGGCTTTTTTTCTGAAGCACTGCCATTTTTAAGTTGTTAGCAAACTCAACCCATGAGCTCCTGGTCTGTACTGAAATGTGTCCCTTAATTAGTGTCCAGAGCCTGTATGGTGCTTTCTCTGCACGCTTTGATTGATAAAGGGGAGAGATTCCAGGGTACTTTTGAGAAGTTCTGGGCCCACAAATGCAAGGAATATATCTTCAGCAGAATTTTCTCCTGCTATATCCAAAGGGAGTGTGAAAAAACAAGAGGGCTTTTCCCTGTCACGAGTTGCAATCTTTGATCCTCCCCACTGTACTCCTCATTTGTGCATAACTCCGTGTAAGGAAGAAAAGAGAAGAGATCTAAGTCAGTGCTGTCAGTTTTGTTGAGGGAGAATATTAAACCAGACAAGAGCCTGGAGTTCTTGTTTGGGACCATGTTCTCTCACAGATGTCAGCCAATGCTTTACCCAGGCAAGCTGTGGATGGCAGGTCCAGAATATGCCGCTTCGTGACAATTGTGTTATCCTCCTCCCAGACCATAAGATGCCTGTGCAGCATCCCATTAAAACTAGCGGATTGCCTGTCCTGGAGGATCCCCATAGTTAGCACAGCTCTGCACTGCATTTACATGGCATCCAAACGCCCTTTTTACTGCTTCATGGTAAAGCTTTTAACCACCACCGCTGGGGTAATGGCAAATGACTTGAGAAGGTGCAATATGAGGTATTGTGTTAAGGCTTTAGAGAAAGTAAAAGTTGTGGAAATGATGCCCAGGTTTTTTTGGCGTCAACAAAATAGTTTACTTTGAGCAGGGATTTATGTTCTCTCAGTTCCTAGAAGTTTTGACTGCCAAGGCATCTGGAAAGGAGCCAGTGAAGCTCACAAAGTAATGTATCAAAAGAAAAAGAAAATGTGACAAAACTTTGGCACCTTAAAACCGTTGGGTTTTTTGTTGGTTTTTTTTTTTTTTTCCCCTCCCTATTCTCATATAAGCTGATCTATGAACAAGAAATGAGGTCTGGCAATTTGTATATAATACACTGTCTCAAGTCTTAACAGTGTTCCAGTAAGTAATAGTGCTTTTGGCATAAGTGATGAAACTCCTGCAAAAGAAAATGATTAGAAATCTTAACTTAATATTAAAGATCAGCCTCAACTAAAATCAGTACCCAGATTATACTATTTAAAGGTGTTTCAGACTTTGAACTCAGATCCAGGCCCTGGATTTTAATTAAGCAGAGATTCTGTAATGACATCTCTATTTTGTAGCTCGATCTCATCTCTACCTACAATTTCATCTCCAGCCTTCAGCTGATGTATCAAACTTCGAAGAGCCTAGCCAAGTGGGGTCCATGAAGGCACATCGCTATAGCTCTATGGTCACAAGTAGGCTTGTATCAAGAGCGCTGAGATAAAGCCCCAGATCCTGCAGAGCTGAGAGTACTTGCTCAGTTGCAAGGTGCACCATTGCACAGGTGTCACCATTCCCAACTTCAGACTCAGACTTCTGCAGAGTTTGTAATGCTTGATGATAGATCCATGTTGATACTGATAGGTGCAGTCAGCTGCAAGGACCAGAGCTTGATAGACAGAGCCAGAACACAGAAGCCATCTCCCATCAAATGGTGCTGACAGTGTGGTTGTAGCTTTCTGAGATCCAACTTTACTAAGCCATTCCTGAGGTCAGCTTCAGGGTCAGACCTGACATTATCTTTGCTTCAGAGCCCTTAGATTCTCCTCTGGCACCCTGAAGGAGAAGACTGAACTCAAGACTGGAAGCTTTTCTGAAGTTCAGGGTTTTGCAGTGGTACATCGTGGGTACCAAACTCCTGCCCTCCAGCACAATCCTGCAACACTAGAGACTGTAAGAAAGGATTTGAGTTATTTTGCTTGTTTTTGGATCTCTTCAGTTTTTTTTCTGTGAAGTGTTATGGAGAGGGATAGATTTATGGGAGGTGGGGCTGGCCCAGAATTTGAAGTTTTGTGTACAGGAGAGCTAAGCCGATTGTTCTTGGCATTACGGAAAGGACCTTCCTAACCAGACTGTCACATCATTTGCAGCTCTGCAAGGATAATTTCAGGGATCCTGCAGCACATGTCAATTCTCCTGAGACTGTGAAGAGCGTAAAGGCCATTCCCAAGTTTGCAGATGGCCCCAGTCTCAGTCATGATATGGTATCACCAGCACATGTTGCTTGTGGACTTTTACCAATGGGAGACAAGTGACTAAATTTCACTTATTCTTCCCATGTAGTCAGGGGGTTTGTGCAGCTTCTGTTAAGTGTAGCTCAGAGTGAAATGTTTGGTCTGGCAAAGATGGGAAACCCCTGATGGAAAGGAGGGACATGGATAATATTAGCTCATGTGGGAGCTGCCTTATTGGTGGGAGGGTAAACAGAAATGAGGATTGTATTTTACCTTATAAACCTCATTCCTCTGGGCTGTCTATTCCATACTATCACTTCAGAAAGACTGAAACACTTCTTTTTTCACCTTTAGAGCTTCAGAGGAACTTAGGTCTCCATTAGAGAGCATCCCTAAAGCCCTGCAACATTTTCCCTCATCCAGAGTCCAAATGGTGCAATCAAAGTCTTTTTTCTTTCTTTACAAATTCTGAAATGCCTGTAGTGGTGAATATTGTGTTAAATTTATATATATATATATATAAGAACATTCTATATAAATATATTAAAAAGGAAATGTAATTAAAATGAAGGAATTGCCTAAATAGAATCCTGCACATCTCTGAAACTTGGGCTGATGCATGGAACTGTTTTCTACTGCAACTTCTGTAGCACTGAACGTGTGAGATCAACTGGCTTTTTGCTCACAGAGGAGAAGCCAATGAGTTCTGGCTAATCTGTGGTGGGCAGAAGCCCTGAATTTGCCTTCTTGAGCTGGATCATCTCCTGGGAGAGGAGGGATGAGGTCTCTCTCAGGGGAGACCAGAGTGGAAGGACTGATTTAGCTTTCCACCACAAGCTTCTCCCCAGTCCTTGAAAATGCAATCTACTGGAGCATATATTACCTTTCAGGCATGCCCAGGTTTTGCAGTTGTCCCTTTTGCTTCTTTCCATCTCTAGAAAAAAAAATAAATCTCTAGAGGTGGGAGAGAAGCTGTAGCTGATCCTTATTTGGTTTAGCTTTTTCTTGCTCGTAACTGGTGTAAAGGCTTGGTGATAACTCGTTCTGCTCCAAGCAAGCAATGGAAATCTTGCCACTGTGTTCAACTGGAGATGGAGCAGGACTTTAACAGCCCTGGAAAGAAGGATGGCAGGAGGCAAGTGCTTCCTGAGGGCTCCATGCAGCAGCCCAGACCTT